GGAGTCTCTACTCTGAGGCTGCCCTGTGCTGAGCACTGGAGACAGCGCTGATCTCTACCCGCAGTCCCTGCCCCAGTCCCCACCATGTAAGTGATGATGCCAGAGGGCAGTGGGAGGCAGCCAAGCACAGGGTGGGAGCTGGGGAGCCAGGCAGCCCTGGGCCGGAATCCTGGCCTCGCCCACCCAGCAGCATCACCTGGCTGGTACCTTCACCTCCGAGCCTTTCCTTATCTGTATCACAAACACAATACCTGTCTCCTGGGCCAGGCATGTCGGGGTTATTATTATAGCTTGAGGGAAAGAGGCTACAGCCGGTTCTCGGGATGGGTACAAGGGGACTGCAGAATCTCCATCATGGAAGGAAGTGGCCACCCTGGGCTTACTTACCTGGCTGAGTACAAAGAAAGTACGGACATTCCAGAAACGGGCCTGTTCCTGGAGGAAGGTTTTCAGGTAGATGCCTTCAAAGGTCTTGAAGCAGCCGACTAGAGTGACAAAAGTCTCGTCCTCTTCATTGTCTGTGATGCTCTGGAGGATGGGCACCATGGGGGCCAGGCCCGTGCCTGCAGCCAGCATGAGGAGCTCACCATACTGGGGGTGGAACAGGCGACATAGTTCTAGTTTCTTAAAAAAAAAAGGGAAATCTGGGGATCTGGCTGGCTGGCTGGCTGTTCACTGTTACTGCAAGGAACCCTAGCACCCTATGGAGCTGTTTGAAAACCACTGGTGCAGAACTGTGCACAAGATTGAAACTAGACTTCTAGTGATGGCCCTGACATGAACTGTTTTACCCCGAGCAAGTCATTTTAGCCTCACTGGGCCCTAGTTTCTCCACTTATACATGAAATCTGTTACCTTGGATGCTTTTTGGAGTCCTGAACTTTCAGTTTAGATATGATGAACACTGCAGTCTTACAACTATTCAAGTCTAAATGTAATATTCCTGGGACTGTCCGTAGTGAGCCTCAGTCAAATTCATTAACAGCAGTGCACTGCCCAGGGGCACCAGGTTCTCAGGGTGGTGAGGGAAAAGGTGGGTGGATCGGAATCAGCAGCCGCTCAGTGGGCAGAGCTGGGAGAGGGACCCAGGTCTCCTGACACCTGCTCTATCTTTAGATCTCCATAGCAACCGTCGCCAGGGCACCCGAGCTGAAGGCACAGGCTGAGCGGCTGCCTACAGGAGGAAGGAGGGGCATGTGTCTGCCTCCTGCCTCTGCTTTTGCTAGGGAAAGGACTCTGAACCAGGCTCTTGAACTAGGAGATGGGGACTAAGGCTTGGATCAGCACAAAGGCAATCTAGGGCCCACCTCTGCTCTCAGAACATGTCAAGTCATAGAACCCAAGCATTTGGCATGTCAGGCTCAGGCACCAAAGTACATAAGGTGAGGTCCTCCTGCACAGGGCTCTCAGCCTCTCCTGTGCCATCCCTACACACTGAGGGAGCCCTAGTCTGACCCAGTGCTGAGGACATGGCCAGAGTCCCTCACAGGCCCTCTGATCAGAGGGACCAGGTAAATTTCTCTGGCCCCTTCCCCTGCCCAATTCCTACTTGTTCTGAGGCTCAGCCTGGACTCGGCTTGTTCTGAGGAGTCTTCTCTGCCTCCCAGATGGTGGTCCCCTCCTTGAGGCCCCTGCGGTCTCCTGTGCTCCCTCCACACAGTATTGTATCAGAAGGCAACAATTAACCTCACAGAACCAATGAGAAATGGAGGCTTTGAGACCCTTGCCTGAGGTCACTGGCCAGTCAGCAGTGGGGCCAGGCTGGATTCCATGTCTTCTGGTTCCAAGCTGTGGTCCTTCCTGGGCCCCAGCTGCAGGCCCAGCCTGGGTTTTAGAAGGGTGGCCTAGACTAGAAGAGGAAGTAGGAGTCCCCGGTGAGGCCTGCACACTCCAAGCACCTGGCTACGTCCTCAGTAAACTCATTTGAGCCACAGACCAGTGCGAAAGGCTTTCTCCGGCAGCCACTGACCAGCTCTTCAACCAGGCCCGGGCCCAGACGGCCAAAGCGGGTCTTCTCCCGGTAACTCCAGGGAAGCTGCTCGAAGGAGCTCTCCTGGGAAGATAAGCAGCAGGGGTGAGTACTGGGAGGGGCTCAGGGTTCATATGCCAGTCCTCTGCTGATGAGGAAACTGAGGCAGGAGGGTGGGAGGCCAAGCTTTGCCAAGCCCTATCCTGAGCCAGGGACTTGCCCGTCACCTCCCAATGAGCCTAAGGGTAGGCTGTTACCCTTCTAGGACAAGTGAGGCAC